ACAAAACTTCTTTTTTTCCCTTCTTTTTGGGTCATATTTACTGAGATTTTATTTTTTTTCAGACAGAAAAATTGCTGATAATTTCAGTGTTAAAATCTGGACTGAAAGAAACAGCATGTTTTTTCCCTAGCTCCTACCTCATATCTAGCACACATTCTACAAAGGTACCTAAGTGATGAGATTGGTAAAAATCCAATAAACTGCGTAATTTGAATATACTTTCCCCAACAGAAGAAGTAATTGTAGTGAAGTTAAAGCAATTTAATTCCAATCATGGAATTTGTCACTGAGCTGCTCTCTGATAACAGGCGGCAGCATTTGTTCCAGGATTCGGGGATAAGGAGCCAGTAGAAACCACCCTGGCACCTTCTGACCATCTGCAGTTACCTCGTAGATTCCGATTAAATGACAGCGTCTGAGCTGCAAAATTAAGCTTCCTTTGAAAAAGTGAGTAAGAGGAAGAAAGAACCCAGTTAGAGGGAAAACGAGGGCTCATGCAAGAACTGGTGAGGCACAGAGAAGCGATTGAAGGATTAAAGATGACCTCCTCTGAGGACACGCTCCTCTTCCCCTGGACGACTGTCACACTGCCCTGGCTGATGCAGAAGCAAGTCACAAGGCTGAGGTCATGTGAGTGCCGGGCTGTGAGGCGGATGGCTCAATGCTCCCATGGAATCATGCACGACAGCCCTGTATGTGGGCTGTCCCACAACCAGGCTGAGCTGGAGGGTGGTTCTGCCTCTGCTAAGACACTAGTGGGAATAGCCTGACACTTAGATGCACTTTATCCTAGCTCTGTCCCTCTAGCTAGCTGCATAGACAGTTTACATAAGTATCAGTTTCCTAGAGGGGTTGTTGTGAGGATTATGTATAAAGTATCCAGTATAACATGGAGTTAGCAAAATTTTGATAAATGGTAGCGATGATGATAATGATGATGATGATGATGGTGGTGGTGGTGGTGGTGATGAGGAAGAGGAGGAGAAGGAGGAAGATAAAGATGAGGAAGATGATCAAAAGAACCAAGCATTGGCTAAGGCTGGCTTTTATTTAAACTTTGGGTAAACCCAGCTCACTACCCAGATTAAGTATTTTCTTCATGGCACTGAATTTGACCAAGTATTATAATACACCTTCCTGCTTTTATAAGATTTTACATGCATACACATACACACACACATTTGCTGTCATTTCTAATCTTATATTAAAATTCATAGAAATAAAGAATGGCAGCCTTCAAACAAAACTGAGTTATTACAAAACACATTTGGATGAAACAATTTTAATTTTACATTAGATTTCCCTTATTTACAATTTTTAAAAAAGGAATAGGAGACTTTGCCATATGTAAGACATTTCAAACATTCTAAAAGAACAGGAAAACGTAACAAAATTAGCAGATTTTAGCTTTTGACTATTTTCTGCATCAAAAAAGTAAAATCAATAAATATTTTTGCTTAATCTTAACAAAAATATTCAGCCATGTATATCATTCAAGAAGATTTCTAGTAGTATCTTCTTCTGCGAAATCCTCAAATGAAGGCATCTAACTTCATGGTGGTGGGTAGAGACATTGAGGATCAGAGAGTATAGAGCAAACCTATAGCTTTCATTCTTGGAATTCTTCAGGTGCGGGTAGGAGTGTGAGATTTTATATATATATATGCAGTGTGTGTATATATACACACACACACACTGCATATATATATATATACATAGTATATACATATTCTAAGATCATATTGCAAGTTCAACTAAATTTTGTTCTAGTCATATGGCTGCTCATATCTCTATTAGTGCTTACTTACTTGCATCGTAATTAACTGTTTTCTCTTTCAAAGGACTGAAAGTTTTTTGCAAAGTAGTGTCTCAGTGCAGGATGGAGTAGGGGGCTTAGGTGGCAAAATTATAGTTAATTCACTGTTGTGTTTTCTGGGCTGAGTCTGGTTTGGCACATAGTAGGTGCTCAATGAATGCATGAATAAATCATTGAATAGATGATTGAATGAAAGATACTTTGAGAGACTTGAAAATACCTTGTTCTTTAAATGAAAAAAAAGCAACATGCTTCCTGCTTTCATTTTCCCCTGATACATAATTTGGTGAAGCTGATAGCAGCCCACAGCATGCCAGGACTTGGCTATCTTGTAACCAAATTGCTTGTGAAAGTGGTCTGAAGAGGTGGTAAACACTATGAGACTAAATACCAACAATGCTGTAAGCCAACAAGTACCATTAGGAAGGGGAAAAGAGCTTTGAGGAAATTTAATAATAAAATCCAAGAGCCCCATCAAGTTTAATGACTCAAAATTCAAGAAGATTATAATTTTCAAAAATGCTATTAGGGCAAGTTGTATACTGACAGTTGAGTACAGAACAGTAAAACTGATAATTAAGATTACGGGTAGAATAAAAGCCATATTAGGGTTATTACACTGGAACTTTTTGAATGAGTGATGTACCGACAGAGATAAGCTTTATTGCAGAAAAGTGATTAACAAGTTTATCGTCTGTACAGTCAATGTTCTTGCTGAATGCTGAGGCTACTGGAAAATAAGATGGAAAATACATTTGAAAAGTGTTCTCTTTCACATTCCTTGATGAAATCTTGTTTGCCCCATATCCTTATATGTGGAGAAGATAATATCTGGAAACTTCCACTTCTATATCTTGAGATGCAAACATTTTTCTCCTCATGGTCTAAGTCAGCATCATTTTGGAGCATGGTACAAGTTGTTTTGAATAAGTTTACCTTCTTTGGTCACTTTGTAAATTGTTCTCAGCTGTAAATTGTCACAGATCACATTTTGTGACTAAAGAATGAAGAAATGAAACTCAAATTTAGGATGCAGATAATCTCTCTCGAGTATCACTCTTTTAAGTCAGGCATTTTTAATGGGTTCATCAGTGAAAATTAATTCTGAAGACATTTCTGTGTCTCCAAATTCCCCCTCTCAGATGGGTATCAGATTTGGGCTGTCTCCAAAAACAGGACAGCAAATTGTCTATTATGGTACGATTCAAAGAAGAGCTTCTTTGAGCAGAGGACTGAAAGTATGGCTGATAGCCCACGCCTTGGAAGCAGTCAGTATCTATGGCTAAACTTCCCTTGCTGAGCTTTTTCATGTATCAGGTTTGCAATGCGGTGTTCGGTTATTGTCTCCCGGTGGCACAAGCAAAATTTGAAGAAATGACAAGAAAAATCATAGAATGAGGCATGAACCAAATTAATTCTGTTAGGCCTCACCCTATATTAGGGGACAATGAGCTACGGGGTAGTGGGAAGCACACCATCCTTGGTGAGTGTCAGGGTTCTGACCCTAGCTCTGCCGTCTGGAAGCCTTGGGCCAGTCACTTGGACACGCTGAGACTCAGTTTCTCCATCTGATGTATCAACCAATAGGATTCTCATGACCCTTAAGTGAGATAACTTATATACAATTACCTTGTGAAATGTAAAAAGTTGTGTAAGTGTAAGGTATTATTTTCCTAAGTTATGGTAAATCTATATGTTAAAAAGCCACATAAGAGTTGTTTTTTTTTTAACTGAATTATAAACATCCTAAATGTCCTCTTTTTGGTACATCTACTTGGTCTTAAAGAAGATTCCTTGGTAATCCGGTTAGAAAATTTGCAGAGCAGAGCTAGAATGTTTCCATTTCTCTTGGGGTTTTGCAGTCCTCATGTAAGAAATGTCTCCCTTATCCTTTATCACAACCGCATAGAACTGGACAAAGAGCCAGAGGGAGGGCCCGGGTCTGTATTCAAATCCATCACTAAGTGGAGGACTTTGGGCAGGTCCTATCACCTCTCTGAGCTTGTTTCCCAGACAGTAAGACAATAGGAACAGTGCTATCTGACTTGCTTTTCTCACAGAATTATTGTGGAAAGCAAATGAAAAAAATGGATGTAGAACACTAGCCATAATAAAGTTCTGCTCATCCCTCCAGCATTACTAGTAATGGTTTGCTATATTATAAATGGGCTCGACTATAATAAAAGCAGCTTTCCATTTTGGGGGGATCTCTTCCAAATGTACTGTTAAGTGAAACCATTATATCAATGTTTGCCGACAAAGCCAGCAAGAAATGGCACTAAAATATGTGACCCCTTAGCTTAAGTGAAGTAGTTACTCAAATAAATGGAAGCATTATCTCAAAGTGTTATTGTTAAAATAGTTTTTTCCCATAAGTAGAATTATCTGAGTACTATGAGCAATCATTTTCAAACTTTAGAGCAACTTGGTGTAGGTGACTGTTTTACATAACCTAAGATGAAATGAAAAATAGACAATTTCCCCAGAAAAATCCAGACAACTAGTACATATAATTTAGCACCATATTCCAGCTAGTAAAGTTGATAACATTTTAAAAATTTCCTCGGTAGCTGACTTAAATCACCATTCAAAAGGCTCTTTGGGCCTTAGGTTATCCAATACAACCTGTATTGATCCCTTAACTCAGATAATTGGTGAATAAATAACAAATTTTCTTTGTGCTATGCTGATACAGCTTCTAAGGTGAAATTAGTTTCAGAACAAAGATTCACATGGAAAGAACAGCACATAAGGAAAATGATTTCATCCCCCAATGTTCCAGGTCTTTGATACTTTCATTTTAAGAGGAAAAAGCATTTAGTAAATCAAAATTACATATCCATCTTCTCTCCTCTGTGTGCTTCTAAGATAGTTTACTGCTAATATATCTTGAGGTAATACGCTGATAGGTTCTGCGTAAATGTATACTGTTAGCAAAAAAAGGCTATGCATCGTATGCTGTTGGGTACACAGTCCTTGAATGGTTTTTACTGGACTTTGTAGGTAAGAGCCATAAGCAATATTAGAATGTTCTGAACACTTAACTGGGAGCCAAGAGGAATGTTAAGTAAATGGAATGGCTCATTTGGAATGTGCCAGTTTATACCAGTTCAGCTCTGGATAGCAAGAGTTAGTGATTTCCCTTCTTATCAACTAAACACTCTTTCTTATCTCTTTTTAATAGGCAGCACCAGGCATGAAGACTTCATCCAACCATCTATCACCTTGTCCCATTGATAGTTATGAAGAAAGATCAGCTAATAGCTCACAAGTAGTACAGACTTCAACAGAGGGAGTCGAGCGTGCTGTTGGCAAAGCAGGGTGTCTTCTGCTGAGCCCTACAAGGAATTAGGAAAACAGCCCTGGCAACCTGAGGTTGAAATGTTTCAAACACAAGGGCAGACTGTAGCCATGAGGTGAGAGCCTTTTGCTGGCAAAAAATTTACCACTGACATTTAAGGGGGAGACCAATAAACATGGTTAAAAATAGTCTTTGTTTATGGCTATATGTATGTGAAAGTCACAGAATGGACTGCATCTCTGACCACTCCATAGGGTAGAATAGTAAATAAAATATTTGGGTTATCAAAGAATTGAGTAAATAACTGGGACTCACTTATATACGGCAACATCTGTCAGTAAATACTAAACTTGCCATCAAGAGAGTTCTCAACTTTTATTTCCAACTCTGAGCTATCTGTAAAATAAAGATGACACAGTATAGATTCAGTGAAGCTGGAAGTAGACCACAAGAGCTCTCCACATGATGGACACCAAGCAGGATTTGTCCTGTAGTTTCTTCCATTTTATGGTGATGCTCAGGTCTTGAAATGCTTGACACTGAGAACTCTTAAGTGAAGAAACACAATCATATTATATTCTGTTGCTTTTGTCCTTGTCTCTGTTCTGTCTTTACCTTGGCAAGGGCTCACTAAAAGCAGTCCAGGATTTTACATAATTCATTTAGTTTGAGATAATTGAAACTATAGCCCTAGTTTTAAATCTCAAATATTTTAAAAAAAATCTTATGTTACCTACATCAAGTGAAGCTTCACTATGGAATACTGAAGACGGTCTTTGGCTCCCCTGGTCATCCCATTTAAGGTTCTACTGGGGAAATTCTTTTGTTCTGTCCTGGGATTTCTATGAAAGCACTTCTGTTAAGTACTGTTTCTCAAACTTTCATGTGCAGACAAATCACTTGAGGATTTTTTAAAAACATAGATTGTAATTTAGTAAGAATGGGGCCTGAGAGTTCACATTTCCAAGAAGCTTCCAGGTGACCATCCTGGCCCAGGGATAGACTGTGTGTAGCAAGGCACTGAACTTTGGCCTTTTTCTATACCACTTACTCCTCCCATGGGAGGAAGACTGATTTATCTAGTTGATGAGAGAGCAAGAATCTTTTCATCTATGACCCCCCTGTGAAGGGAGATATGGGGGCAGAGGCCACTTGTTGCATATGGCGGCCTCTTTTGCTCTCTCCCTTTGCAAATGCCCTGCCAAGGAGTGGACATTTTCTTCTCCATCTGACAAAGCTCCTGGGAAGTTTCTGCCTGTAGGGGCAGGAAACCTACCCTGGGCTCTAACAAACAGGTCTGGAAAGTCAGTGGGCTTGGTGAGGCTGCATATTAGGAATCCCCTTTGGCATTGGTCCAAATCTTGTTTTCCATCCAGCTCCATCAGCAATAAAACTGACCTTCTGATCTTCCAGTTGAAGTCTCTATATGTTTCTCACTTTGTTCTGAACTTAGTAGGAAGAGAAAGGTAATTAATTTGTCCTTCAAATTCCAGTGAATGCTGTAGAAACCCTGGCCTCCTGATATGGGGGCTCATCATGGCCTCTTGGATAGGAGAGGGTAGTTATATATGGTGTTGGATCTTCAGCTCCTGCTCCTGTGAGCATCAAGGGGAAGACAAGGATGAGGGTTATTCTGAATCAAGTTTGAAAAATGAGGTCAACTGTCCTGCTGTCGCTGGGCTTCTTACATCTTCAGAACATGTTGAGCAGATTTAGGTTCCCTTATAATGCTGGGATTCAGATGAAAGGAGAGGCCTGTTTTGTCTGTGAGCTCTCTGGGAAAGCCCTAGGGCTCAGAGCGGCACAGGTGGCCGGCTTCTTCCTAAGAGAGAACAGGCTGCTATTTTAAGGAGGTTAGAGACTCAAAGAGTTAAGCCATAACAATAATGGCTCAAGTTTTATTTAATTCTATCCCATTGGGTCTCCTCTTTGGACACCTGTAGTACCCAGTTACTCCTTCTCTACCAGCTTGCAAGGCTGCCTGTCACTCAGCTTTGCATGGTGACACTGCCTTTCACCCTTGTCTGACGCGAAGTCTAAACCCTCAGGCAACCATCGACAATCACCCAGTTTTGAGTTCTCTTTTATGGGAACTGGATTTGTGCCATATGTGGAAGTATGTTGGCTAAAGTGTCAGACCAAGATTCAAATATCAGCCTTACCTGTTATTAGCTGGATGCTTTAAAGTCTAGGACTTGTTTAGCCTCTCTGAGTCCTGTTTATTCATCCAAAAAGTAAGAAAAATATTTACAGTTAAATGAGATAGCATATATAAAGTATCTGGCCTAGAGCATACACCTAATACATGATGGCTACGACTATTAATATTATAACCTTTTTACTTAGCCTTTGTATCTTGCTATTTTCCACACTTTAAGAAAGCATTACCTCCAATATCCACTTCCTGCCATAATCCCCAGGAAAACACAAATACACACACACACACACACACACACACACACACACACTACCTGAATTCAGTTGCTTACTAATCTTAATATCGACCTATAAAAATTAAGTCAAATAGTAATGTGCCTCAAAACGATATGTATGTGTAGGGGAGAAGAAATTTTCCTCTACCCTTCTAGGTTCTCCTGGCTAGGCTAAGAATTAAACTGACATGAGACAGAGAAACAGGAGAAAATCAAACAAAAGTTAATAACATACAGGGGAGAGACCCAGGAGAAATGAGTAATTTGCCAAAATGGCTGAAATTCTCACCTTAAATACCATCTTCAGCTAAAGACAAAAAAAAAAAGATGTTGGGAGTAATGGTTTGGGACTTCAAAGGGGGAGGCAGGGTATTCACATGAAGATAGAAAAGCAAATGTTTGGTAAACAAATGTTTGCTGGGCCATGCAGAAACAATGGGACACAGAGTAGACTCTGATCCCTAGGCCTTGCTGAGTTTCTCCCACCACACTTAGCCCATATTTTTTACAGGTATCTCTGATGATAGCTCTATTATGGAATGGGCCCTCTGTCTAAAAATTTTTAGGCAGTTAGGGGAAAAGTTAAAGTTCCTTTATGAGTCCTTTGGAACTTGATTTTTATCAGCTCAAATAGTCAACATGCCAAAGAGACATTTTGGGGTGGCAAATTTTGCTCCCTGATATACAAAATTCAGAATTACCTGTTATATCAATGGTTCTACTGCTCTCTTTCATTTTCTTGATCTTTTAAGTAGAGTCTCTGAGGATTTAATATTTGAAATCAAAAGAAATTCTGTGGGCCTCTCTTGCTCCCTCCTCTTCAGAGACGGCTTGCACTCTGTCTATGGAGCATGTGTCTACTTTTACTTTAACCTGAGCACCCAACCCCACAACTTGTGGCCTTTCTCTTACTTCTGAAACAGCCTATACTCTATACAGTTGTATCTCTCTAAATAAATCTACCTTTACTCAGAAAAGGAAAAAAGTGATTCTATGAATTCCAGTCTTAATAGATAGCCAATTTTGATAACTGAAGTCACCTACTAGATAATTTAAATCCTTCCATATTGAAAAAGAGCAGATACTCAAGCTTGGTAACCAGATGTTACATCTTATGATCGAAAAGATGAGGAAGTTATTAAGAACATTAAAATGTGACCTGACAAGTTTCACAGTAATATGCAAAGTAGTGTGTTACAATGAGAAATATCTTTGTTTTCCTTCTTTAAGTGTCCATAAGAAAGGCAAATAACCCTGTGGGAACCAACAATAGCCCTCACTTTTAAAGACTTTCTGGTCAGCAAATATAAATTGTTATAACTCTTTAGAGCCAAAGCTCTGATCTCATAGAAAATCAAGAGGTACATATATTTAGCAAGTTTTCTTTTTGTAGGTGGGTGATGCCAATTTGATAAAGAGCATATTGAGTATAAAAATATGGAGAAATTGCTTCTTTTTCTGTTTTTGTTTTTGGTTTTGGTGGGGAGGTAATTTGGTTTACTTATTTACTTATTCATTTCAACGAAGGTACTGGGGATTGAACCCAGGACTTTGTGCATGCTAAGTACTCGCTCTGTACTGAGCTATACTCTCCCCCACAAAATTGCTTCTTTTTAAGAACTATTTGATCAAGAGAATGAGTGTTTTTAAAAGAGGAATTGATTTAAGATAATTTGGCAATTGACAGAAGTGAATACTCCTTCAGGGCAGGGGTCTTTATTTGTCTTCTTCTCTGACATGAGCCAAATGCCTAGAACAGCACCTGACATTTAGCAAGTTTTAATAGATATTTGTTAAATGAACTCATGTACCAATTTTTCATATGTGAGCAGTCTTGCTATTAATTCAGTCATTGAAGGAAGAAATTATTATTGTTTAATCATCTTAAGACAAAGAGCATTTACTCTGCTTTTTCACTTGCCAAACTGATGGCTTCTTTTACTTTTTTCTTAAAAAGAGAAAAGAAAAGAAAAAAGTGATTTCCATTTTCACCAGTGTGACCAAAGATTCATTCCTTTAAATGAAAAGAAATATGAGAACACATCCAAGAAAATTCAAACCTAATTGCAGCTCAACTCTGTCCTGCTCTTGACACAAGAAGAGACAAGCCAGGCAGGTCAGCTCAGAGCCTCTGCTCCAACAATGACTCAGGGATTTGGGCTGCTTTCACTTTGAAACTCTGTCATCTTGGAGGGCTTTGCTTCTAGCCACATGGATAGCAGAGAGGAAGTATGGATGATTCACAAACACTTGAATTGCCTTGGACCATCAGGGACACACCACTTCCACTTACATCCCCATTGGTGGGAACTCAGCCACATCATTTCCACCTTGCAGCAAAGGCAGCTGGGAAATGTAATGAATATAGTCTCGTTCACAGAGAGCATCAATAGGTTGGCAGTGCAGACTTGATATTGCTACACAGTTTAAAACATAAACTGCTACATTTTAGAGGGGGAATCTGATAGTAGGCAAGGAAAGATTCTATTATTTGCATATGTTGGTATATTCTAATTTTTCAGCCAACTGAAAAATGATTCCAGATTTTTATTCTCAACAGATAGCATTTCTTTTGGTCCTAAGTGTATCCCTTCCACTGGGCTAGTAGCTTCGTATCAGCTTCCATTGTTTTTTCTCTGCTTTGATGAACAGAGTAAGCTCTTTGATTCCTTTGATGCTGGTTTCAGCCAGCCATACTGGTGTGTGGTCTGGATGAATGTGTCATTAATTTTCTTTAACTAATCCTG